TAAAAAAAAGTAATTCTTTCCAAAATTTTCGAAACTTTATCATATCGACTTCTTCCATGCTCGAGCTTCTTTTTACGATATTCTACGTAAAATGTATATAAAGTTTGGATGATTGCAATTTCACTTTAGAAATTTCATTTTTTTCATTATGGATGTTCTGAAGAATTTTGAAAAATGGACCTAAAAATTTATTCAAACTGCTTATGATGCTGTTTGGATCTCTGACCAATTATACTGTTTTTTTTATTATTTTTTTCTCATCAACAAATTGTATTTTAATGTCGAATTACAAGATTAGTTATTAAGTTTATGAGATATTTTTATTTAATTTTAAAGATTTTTGTTAAATGTATTATTTAAAAATTACAAATTTAAATATTATAAGAGTCGTCTGATTTGCTCTGATATGAACCACGAGACATCAATCATACGATATACTTAAATGAAGATGTGACGAAAATATTGTTGAAATTATCAAAAGATATTTCAATTCATGTCACATTAAAAGAAAAATGAAGTTTCGTGTTATAAATTTTGGGTGGATAGAATTATTGTATTTCATTAATATATTTTAAGACTTTTTAGTTACTTTAGGTTAGGGTTAATTATGACCGTTAAGTATGGATGTTACAACTCTTGGAATGTCATGTAGTTTCACTTTGAAACTATATAAAGCCATGTATATTGTATTTGTAAGTAGATTGGAAAAATATAGTAAAAGAAGCATTTGTGATTCTCTTTAGCCAATGACTAAGTTTCTTTGCAATTCTATGTAGTTGAAGTTGCACGTAGAATCATTCAAGCTCGACATGATCAATCTTGCTTGTGGAGTGATTCGAATCTCAAGCAAGTATTATTGCATTAAGAGATTTGATCAACAAGAATCATTCAAACTAAACATGATCGATCTTGCTTGTGAAGTGATTTGAATCTCAAACAATGTTTTTACCTTAAGATATTCGATCAACAAGGTAATCCGAATCTTACTCCTCTTGTAGTTATTTCCACGTATCATGATCCCTTCTGAATCTACCTCATATGTGACAAAAAAAAAAAAAAAAA